CCCCAAAACCCCAAAACCCCAAAACCCCAAAACCCCATTAGAGAATTTTTAGACAGATAAGAGTAAAGTGTAAATTAAGGTCAATAATATTACTATCAAAGGATAATTATTTCAAGTAAAAAATAAGAAATATCCTGATTTAAAAGATATAAATCTTTGTTATTTAGAAACTTAACTTAAAACTATTAATCAAATGGTCTCAACAGCAGCACCTAAGATGGTTTACAGATACCTTGGCAACTCTGGGTTGAAGGTATCATTGTTCTCTTTTGGAAATTGGTTAAACTCCATGAAGTAAGAAGATTATGAAATTACAAGAGATGCAATTAAGATTTGCCTTGAAAATGGAGTCAATTTCTTTGACACAGCTGAAATTTATGGAATGGGAGCTGCCGAAACATAAATGGGCAAAGCATTCAAGGAGCTCTCTATTAAGAGAGAAGATATAGTAGTCTCCACTAAAATTTTCAGATGCGGAGCTGGAGTTAATGATACTTTCCTCTCAAGAAAACACATCGTTGAGGGCTTGAGAGCATCTCTAAAGAGATTAGAAACTGAATACGTGGATGTTGTTTTCTGTCATAGACCAGACTTTGAAACTCCACTTGAGGAAACAGTCAGAGCTATGAGCTATGTCATTGACCAAGGTATGGCATTCTACTGGGGAACCTCAGAGTGGCCAGCAGATAGAATCTCAAAGGCTATTGAACTTTGCGAAAGATTAAATCTTCACAAGCCAATCGTAGAATAGCCATAATACAGCATGTTCTGGAGAAGTAGCTTTGAAAAGGACTACAGAAGAATTTTCTCTGAGTACAAATACGGAAGCACTATCTGGTCACCTTTAGCTGGAGGTATTCTTACTGGCAAGTATAACGATGGAGTTGCCCCAGAGGGTAGCAGATTCCAAAATCATATTGGATATCTTGCTCCACATTGGGACAGATGGTTCGGTGAGAAGAGTAAGGAAGCCAACCTTAAGAGACTCAATGGGTTAGCTGAGTATGCCAAAGAACTCGGTTATTCTCAAGCTCAACTGGCTCTTGCATGGGCTGTTGCTAATCAAGATGTTTCAACATGTATCCTTGGATTCACAAAAATCGAGCAAGTAACTGAAAACCTCAAGGCTCTTGAGTTATATCTTAAATGGGATGAAAGTATTGAAAACAGATGCAAGGAAATTTTATTCAACGACCCTGAAGCTGATATGGACTGGAGAAAATGGGCTCCTTTGCCCTCAAGAAGATCAGAAGCTACTCAAAACCCTAAATAGTGAGAATTTATTTTTGGGACTTCATGTCTTATTGGGAAAAAATCCCCTTCCAATCATCATATCTTAATTTTTTCAAAGACCTCATCTAAAAATATCCTAATATTTATTAGCTTAACTGAAATATACTCGTTATATGGTTTCTAGGGGTTTTGGGGTTTTGGGGTTTTGGGG